AGTATACATAAAAAAATTGATGTTTGATCATTTTGCTTCATTTTGCTTGAGCTTTAACAAACCAACCTAGCTTGCATTTGATGTATTTTACTGTGGTGGTGATTTATTTGTAAATGTAGTGCCATTGATGTGCAAAATATAGCAGGTACAGCAAATTCGTTAACATAGACCTTATTAAGGCTTTTTATTTGCTTTTCTGATACTATTCAACATTTTTACAGTTCAAATTTACTTATGTTTTGTATGCATTAAATTATATTTCTGCCTTTTCTTTTGTAGCAAATACGTTAAATTAATAATACCCAATTTCATGAATTAGTATTAACAGTTTATAATGCTGGATGAAATATATATATATATATGTGTGTGTGTCAGCTGGATATTCTGCATTTTAATTATGTGTTTATGATTTAGTCATGGAATTAAAATCACTTTACAGAAATATTTCACCTGGTTTATAAGAATAATAATTTTTTTTAGCAGTGGTTCCACTTTCCAAATTTTGTTTTCTAAGATACACTTTGATTAAGTCCTAAATAAATGACAGACAGGAGAAAGAGACTATTAGAAAAAAAAAACAACCAATTTCAACCAATCACATCAAAGAAAAGTTTCATAGAAAATTTCATATAAATTTGTCCTTAAATTTTTGAGTTTCAGAAAATTCTATTTTCAATATATTGCTAATATATTGCTTAAAGCAAATTTATGCTTTTTCTTCAGCTACTGATAGAACAATTTGATCTTTTTATCATCAGGATAATTCTTATTCTTTCTTTGAATTCATTTAGAACCTGAGCTATTCCACAACATGAAATCTTGCATTTGCAAATTATTTTATGCATTTTATACAAAAGAAATGTATGAATTAAGTATAAATTTAATCAAACCATTAAGCATTTCTTACTTTCTTCTATGATCCCTGGTCTGAAATGTCTCTTGATATAAAATAATACAGCTAATGACTCTTCAGACCAATCAGATTCAATGCTGAAAATTTTAGCCAATGAAATTATTTCTAGAACAAGTAGTAGTTGTCATTTAGGGGTCAACAATAAAAAAAATGGATACTTAGGACATAGAACCACTGTTAAAAATTAATTTTACACATTTGGTACTTTTATTAATGTATCGTCCTAAACTATGATTGGTCTGTTTGTTGAATGAAGCAGAACCAATTTACAAGTTACAGTTTATTTCATTGATTGAAATGTAAATAGTTTGCATATTATCTACACTTTAATGCAGTTTGAATATTATTCAACTGCTGTTATTAATGCAAATAGAATTTTATTTTCTTTGGATAATTAAATCATATATAGCATTTTCTAGAGACGTAAATGTGAGTATTTGTCTTAAAGGGTATAAAGTGTCCTTTACAACTTTTTAGATAAATCTTATTTTATCATTATTATTAAATGAAGCATTACCAATTATTATAAGTTTTTGACTGGCATATCTTTCAGTTTAATTCCATTTGCTTTTCATTGCAACTACACAGACTGCCAAACATTCCAGTATAATAAGGAACAAGTCTGTATAATTAGATTGTTAACTCTTCTAGCCTAAGCAGTAGACAGACTTCCCCAGAAAATGGATATGAATTTTAATCTCATCAAGAGATTATTCTTTATTTACAATCATAACTGTTCACTGATGACCATAAAGTGGTGGCTTGAGTAGTTGTAATAAAAGCAATATGAAAGAAATACAGCTCAAATATTAATAATGATTAATAATACTTCATCAAAAAAGTTAGAATGATATTATGGCTGTTATCTCCCTTTAATACAGATGACAATGTTAAAATGCAACTAACATTAAAATGCATAAAAAAATTAATAAATCTTCATCTGTTTTAAACTGAGAGCAATCTGAATAATCTAATGCAGATGAATTAATCATTTTAAAAAATATATTATAAAATGTCTTCAGCGATATAAATTTGTATGCCTTCAAGAATTTGTCATCAGCTATTGCAAAACAAAAATCTCTTAACCAATTTTCACAAATTTCACAAATCACAGTGACCACCCACGTGTTCTTTAAATTACATTCTGTTATTGCACAAAGGGTGAAAATTTTCATTGCATGTCCCCATTTAGTGCATTTAGTATTTTTAATGTTTTCTTTGCATATGTGTTAATATTTCAATAGTTAGAAGGATTTACTGAAATTGTGCAATTTAAAAGTAAATAATTCATTCTATATTTGTCTTTAGCATTAAAAATTATTCTGGTTTCAACCTAAATGTTGTTACAAGTAGGATTTATAAAGAAAGAAGAATATTTATAATTTAGTCATTTTTAGACTCATTTATGTTTTTCCATTAACTGACATATAGTGCAATTATAGACGTTTTAAAGTATAAAAAAAACAAAGACAGTAAAATAATGAAACAGATTTGCAGTTTGAACAATTATTTATTTCCAATAATAAATGTTTAAAATACTAAAAAAAAAGTGAAATAATATTATGGCTGATAATAGCACTTATTTCAAGTTTTCAAAAAGAAAGAAAAATATTTTAATCGTAAGATTAAAAACTTAATGAATGCTAACCTCAAAAATTGGAGTCATAATATTAAGATGCTTAGATTTAAAATTTCATTTACATTTTGTTTTTAGTAATATTTGCAATAAGAGTTTTCCATCTCATAGACTGGTTGTTGAGTCTGCCCTGCTATTTAACCCATAGTTGTGGAGATAGAAGAGATGGATTTATACCTTTCCCCAAGGTACTTCTGAAAAACTTACCCGGAATTTGAACTCGGCACTAATTCCATTGTCCATACCAATAATCATTATGCTACATGCATATACACAACTCTGAATTCAAAAACCAGTTGCATGTGGGGCTGGTATATCTACCCCATAAAAACCTATTTGTTATGGAAACTACAGCAGCAATACCTAGCATGGTGAGATTGTGGCCCTATACCACACAAGTTAATTCTAATGGTACTAAAGAGAGGAAGGAAGTTTTAAATAAGTGATAATACAAAGAAAAATGGTCTTTTTAATTGTAAAATTTTTGTTACTTTGTTTTACTTACATATGCAGGAATTCACAAAGAATAAAAAATAATTTTTATGTGTTTTCATAACAGTATGTTTAAGAAAGCATTAAATCATTAGTTAAATGGGTCATATTTTACCTACAATTCATAAAAAAAACTCCATGCTATAGAGTTAGATTTTTGCATATTTGTAAATTCTATTGCTATTACATTTGAATGTAATTAACCAAAGTTTGAAGTTCAAATTGCTAACCTAGACTTCCATTAACCCATATTCTGGCATCATTTTAAATTGATGCCTTCTTTTTTTAATTTATCTAAACTATAATTTTTGAAAGTGAAAATTTCATTGAAATATGTTGGAAAAGTTTTCATCTGAAATTAAGAAAATATGAACTTTCTAGATTCAAATTATTTCTAAATTTTACCTGTTTTAAGGTAACTCAAATTTCAGTTGAATTTTTGAGTTATCTGCATAAATTAACTTATTATATAATCTCTCTATATATATATGTATAATGTCTGTATTCTGGTAAGATTATGCTCAGGTTGATATGGTGGAGGTATTTTTACTTATGAATATCTGAAAATTGCTGAAAAATGCAAAATATATTATAAATAAATGAATTTGGCCTATTACTGGTGCAGCTGAATTCCAAGTCATTATCAGAAGTGATTTTATCTATTTCCTTTGCTTCAAATTTATCAGAAGTCCACAATGGTCAGCCAGGCCTCTTGGGTATTCATAAATTTATGCCTGGTTCTCACAGTATCAAAATTTGATCCTCTCTTTCAAATGAAAAATCACAAAATAAATTGCTAATTTTGAGGCACACTGTTACTCTTTTGTAACTACCATGTTGTTCAGGCTAATTCAGTAGTCTATAGGCTCTCTACAGCCAATTGGTATTACTTGATGCAGTTGTAAACAGATGTGTCTTTTATTGGCCAGTCAAAAAAGGTCAAAATGTGAATTCACTTTGCTTAAATTTTTGCAGCTGTTTCTGCTCCCTCTCTGCACTAAATACTTTTAGTGCTATTAACAGAAAAATCAAGTAAATATGGGTTAGTAAGTAAATATAAATCAATCAAGTAAATATAGTTTATATAAACAGTTATATGCAGCAAATTATTATTTTATGCCACAGCTTATCATTTCAGTTATGACCCAGTTATTTTTAAATATCCTAAAACTTTTCAAATCTTATATGTAATAGATTTAAGAAGGAATGAAAATGAATATTTTGTTTTCAAAATGTACTAATTAAATCCAGAAAACAGTTGATTAAAAAAATAGGAAAAAGAATGGATATGGAAGTGGCGTAATGGCTAACAGAGTGAGAAATGATATTGGCAGGCTGACTTCAAATTCTACCAGAGTTCAGATTCCATTTGAATATTTTGTTTTCACCTTGCACTAATGTCCATAAAAAAGGCATGAACCCATTTTCCCCTAGCTATGGGTAAATACTTGGGTAGATTGGACTCTTTATACTTGCTAAAGCAACTTGTCTAGGAAAAGGACAAAACTATATTGCAAATCCTGCAGAAGGCATTGGAAAACCATTTCACTAAGATGATATGGCATTTCACAGATACTAAAAAAAGAAAGCTGTTAAGATCAATAACTATGTCCTTGAAGTGTTATGGCTTTAAAATAAAAGATATATTGAAAAGAATACTGAAATCTGGATAATTTTTTCTTTATTAAAGATATTAATATTTTTATGATTTTATTAGATATGTAGCTATTGAGATGATAAAATTAACTGATTTCAGTAAAGTTTGTTTTATCTTTTTCTTTTTTAATTAGAAACAAATTCCTAATTGATCTTGCTATATTTTAAACTTAAAAATTTAAAGTTTAATTAATAATTTTATTCTATAATTTTTTTAGGTATTTAGCTTTATTTTGGAATATATCAGGACACGTCAAACATTTTTTTAAAATTAATAATACACTCTATTTGATTCCATTTTAGCGGCAACCATCATTTTTCCAACGTATTATGGGAGTGATGAGGACACCATCAGCTCGTTCCAGTCAAAGCATTGACTCAGAACATTCAGACAATGAAATGGATGGCGGTCACAGGTAAAAATATATTTTCATATCTTCGTTAGAAATTCTGTAACAACTTTATGATTTTATTCATTAATAGATTCATTAAAAAGAATTTCTTGTTTGAGTTTTTTTATGTGTGAACTTAAGGCTTAATGTTTGTTAATTAAAAGTTTATAGGATGATTTAGATTAATAAATTGGGATTAAATTTGTTGCGGGTCAGTTACACATTTCCCAATTTGATGTGGGTATTAGTAACATTGGTGTTTGAAAATTGGGAAGAACATGCTATCTCCTGAAATAACCACAACAAAAAATGGTGAACTTGGTATGTAAAGCCACATGAAGAAATGCAAAGAAACAACAAGAATCAATACATGTACAAACAAATGATAATGTATTAACAAGAAAGGTATACAAGTAACAAAGACAATGATGCACGTAACAAAAGAATGTGAAAACCGTTTGGCTTCAAAGTATGTGAATTTGGTGAATGTGCGTATGTATGTATGTTGTGTATGTGTGGTTTCTTAATGCATTTCCCAAAGGGATGTGCATTCTCTGCAAGAGGTTTACATGTTGATGAGTAAGTAGATAAGGTAAGAAGAGGCTGCGAAAAATTATCATAGTATTTATAGACTAGAGAGCGTCTCTTAGGAGCAGTTTCAAAAATTAGGAAATTTCAAAAATTGATAGAGCTTAATATTCTTAAGATATCTGAATTTCTTAAATGAAGCAATCAATGTCTGTTTATTTTTAACAGGTTTATCTTACATTTTTTATTATTAAAATATAACAATGTCTGAATTTCTAAGATGAAGCATTGATTAATAACTTTTGATGTGTTTATCTTTTGTTTTTTATGCATTAATCTTAATATATAAGAATTTCTTAGATTGAACATAACCATTATTAAATTTTTAACTATATTTCCTTTTCACCATATTTTCACTGTTTTTTATTGCATTGCTCAGGTTATTCTACATTCTACAACTGTTATGCAAACAGCATAAATTAGAAATAAAAACTCTGACAAGGTCTGAACACATGTTCAAATCCTGTCAAAGGCTATTTCTGATCTATGCTGCTTACTTGATGGCCATAAAATGTAAAAATCTGCATATAACAATTAAAAGCAGGAAAAATAAGACAAAAAGTTCTAAATTATCTCATGAAAGATTCTGTAATATAAAAAAATAGTTTTTATTATTCAGTTCTTATTAAAATGGCATGCAGATATTGCTTCACCAAAACAGTCAGGTTTAATTGTCAGTAACTAAGAAAGATTTATACTTCTTAACATAAAAAAGAAATAATTAACATGGTTCAGATGAACCATTTATGTTATTAAGGAATATTTCAGTTTGTGTGTGACTTAACATAGATTTAAAATATAATGTTACATCTCTCCCATAATAGTTGTTATATTTAGTAATTAAATGTGTATGTACATTTAATAAATATTATAGGACAGAGATAGTATATACAACTGACATAAAATAGTGACTTAACAGTATTAATGCTTACACAGTTAATCTTATAAGTAATAAGCTCAATTCTTCTACCACAATAGAATTCTGAGTAGAATAAAATTGCAAACAAAATTATTCAAATCCTTTTAATAAATTCAATTACTTTTATTTTAATTGAATTTTGTCTTGTCATAAATATACCAACCAAGGTGTCTATTTCTTGGTCACAAATGTTAAAAGTCTATCAATTAAATATACAAGATATGGCAATTTAACTTCTGAAACGGTTATATTATTGACAGAAAATGAGTGAAATGAATCTGGAGCAGTGGATTAACAAGTTTGTAAAGATTTGTAAAATTACTAGTGAAACATTAGCACTGGTAGAAATAACTTATGGTGCACATGCTATGAAAAAATCAAGTGTTTTTGAATAGCACAAATGGTTCAAGGAAATGCAAGATATACATGATGACACAAGAAGTGGGCAATCCAAAACACAGCAAACAAATACAAATGTAGACATATTATGAACCTTGGGGTACTCAGTTCAACAATTAAGTTTGTGACTTATAGCAGAAAAAATGATTATGAATAGGAAAACAGTGTGGTTCATTAGGAATTCATGAGTTCCTGGCTAAGAAATCCATTACAAAAATGGATTATTCACCAAACTTAGCCTCCTGTGTTTTTTTGCTATTTTCAAAATTGAAAAATGTGAAAAATTTGCTGACATCTAGTATCATGTGATTACATTATTGAAAGGTATTCCAGAAAACTAGTTCTAAGCATGTTTCCTGTAATAACACCATCATCATATGAAGTACATAGCTTCACAATGAACTTTAAATGTAACAACAGCTAATAGTGGCCAAGTAAGCAAATTTTACTTTAACAGGGTCATTATGGGAATTAAATTGTCATCTCTTTCATTGGAAAATTAAATTGAAACAGCAGTGTCAGATTGGGCTACAAGCAATAAATTGAAAACTCAGCATGGCTAAATTTTGAATTTCTTCTCACCAATAATTCAAGTCAACCTAGTTTTTTTTAAAAGTTGCCCCCAAAATCACAAGTACTGAAATTCAAAGTCTAGTAGTGTTTGGCTTTCAAAAATAACCAGCCTGGCAACCCTCAATGAAATACAGCATTATTTTATTGCAAATTTTTGTGCTTAAACTTAAAAAAAATGTTGCAAACATGAGTAATATAAATATTATGTTTCTTTTTTTTTTTTAATAGCATTGACAAGAGTCATGATAAATCTACCTGGCAGCGCTCATTCAGTTTCCTACGGCGTGGCAGTAGCCGGCGTAAGAAAGATAACACAGTACAAAAAAGTGAAACTGCTAGTTTACAGGTATGCTTAATCTCCTTTTTGCAGGATCATAGTTGTGGTAAGGTTCTTCAGGATTTTTCTTTATGTTCTAGCTTCTATTTTTCTGTCTGAGAATGGAATGCTTTTGATATTATTCAAATTCATGTTTCACAGTCTTTCTCTTTCACACATGTTAGCTTATACACATATATACACACAAACACATACACAAATGCACACACTTTAAACCTGTTCTTGTTGTTAACATGTTGGGTTATTTATCAGTTTCTGTAAGACATTGTTTCTTTTTTGCTGACAAGGATCAGATGTTTGATTAATTGATAATTGTACCCTTTCTTTCTTTCTTTTTTTTTTCTTTTTGTTTTTTCACCTACAAGAAAGTAATCCTTGCAAATGTAGTCCATGGAATAATTTTGTTTCCATTGTTTTGTGTCCTTCCTAATCAATTCTTATTTGTATTTTTCATACAGTTTGGTATCTTCACTTTGGTACTGTTTGTGATTGCATAAAAACACTGATTATGATTCACTCTTGAATGCATTGGAAAAGCTAGCATTCAAGATCATTTCTGCTCTCTGAATTGAAGTAATAAATTCACATTATCTTATTTGAATTACAATTCGCTTATCAACACCCATTCATTACCATCACTTTTCTATCCAAGACTAATCAAAAGAAGCTGTTTAAACTTATAACTAAAACTATTTAAAGGCTTAAAAATGAAAACAAACAACTTTAAGGTAATGTTTACACAAGAGCTTCTTACACAAGTTATCTGCTTGTAACATTGTCATTTTTTGTGTTATGTGCCAGTATTAGGCTTCTCCCCTTTGTCAAAAGATGCAAAAGTGATTTTGTTTTGTTACCTAAATTATTTAAAGCATCTATATTTCTTTATTTTTTGTTGATTGATTACATTATTATTTGGCTGAATGTGGTAGAGACTATGATTTATACAAGCATAATCTCTACTACATTCAAGAAACAAACAAAAATAAAAAAAACAATGCATCCACTCTACCAAAAAAGATACATAAATGCTCTAAATAAATTAACTAACAATAACAGAATTACCTTTTCACAAAAAATAATTATAAACACTGACACATACCATAAAAAATGAAAATAGCTTTTTTATGTATAAACACCCAGTTTTCTTTGACAAAAACAATAAATTTAAAATATTGCTTTAATCAAATATTTCAGCAACACCAGAGATTCCTACCCTTTCAGAATTAAGCTATTAATTATAAACATATAGGTATATCAGTAATTTCATAGCTTAATGATGAAAAACATTTATTTTATACAGTAGATATTTATTTTTCAACATCATCTATTTCCTTGCCAAAGCATTTAATTTAATGGTGAATATTAATTGTATAGATCAAAGCTTCAGATAATAACCATGTGTCAGGCTACTGATTTATTGATTCAACCTTGTATTTGAATTTTCTATGTATGTCGAACTTAATAAACTAATGAAATTGCTTTTGTTTTTCATTGAATGAGCAACTACATATATTTCTTGTTCTAAAATATAAACAGCTAAGCTAATTTGTAAAGATATGATGACTATCATTTATAAATGTTTACAGAAGGATTCTTTTTATAATGTGTTAGAATAAAAATCATATATTTCAGTATTAAATATGTTAATTATTAATATTCTTTTAAAATTTTAATCTATAATTTAAAAATTTTGTTTTAAATTTATATAACAGAACATGAAACTTGATTTTTATAAAAATATATGCTATGTCAGATAAGATCTTCTGAATATTAATTATATCATTCAACTAAATACTTTTGCTTGAGTCTATAATTTTAGTTATTTTTCAAGTTTTCTTACTTTCCAGATATACAGTAGTGGATACTTACAAATGCTTCAATTTTAATAGGGAAGCAATAGCCAAAGGTTATTTAAAGCTTTTGCCTTAATTAGAAATTTCATTTATATCAGTTTAAGAAAACACAATTACTATTAATATTAATTATTTTTATTTAAAATGGATTTTCTTCTGTCATATTGTTTATTATTACAGGGATATTCCAAGCAAATTAACTTTGTAATAAATGCTAAAAGTATATTAATTAAATACATATTGAGATATTTTTTCATTATAAAATGATTCAGCCATAAATAAATATAGTAACGTATTGTCATATTTTTGGATTTAATAAATTTGGTATTTTTTATTCTATTCTTTGTAGGTTGATATAATTATTAAATCTTTTTAATGTATTATATTCTTTGAAGAGCA